GAGCAATACGAAGCAAGAAAATAAATTAAGTTCTCAAAGACAAAATATAAAACTAAAAACATAATTTTAAAGCAATATTCAAGTCTCTTTTATGGCTTACCTAGAATATATAGACTTTGTGCAGGATTTTTACCCCTTACATTACTGGTTTAGTCCCCACATTCCAAAAAGGTCAGCAAATTATAAAGTGTTTAATATAAAAATGGCACATGTATACAAATACTTTTGTCATAGAAATAAAGAATACTACAATTCTTTTTCAGGCATTCAAACAACACATTTGCAACCCACACTCCCACAAACCTGAAAGTCATTACTATTTTTGACTAAGTATTTGGCAGAGGACCATAATAAATGCTCCAATTCTGATATTTCATCTGGAAATAGCCATTTGAATTTAAAGTCTCCTAAACCACAGGGACACATGGTAATAATACAGGATTTGGACTGCTGTTTTTAAAAACAACTTTGGCTGCTTTTGGCTAATTTATTTTACCTCATTTTTACATATATGAGAAATGTAAGTTAAATAAATGTAGGGACAATGTTTGAACTTAGAATGCATTTTCCACTTTAAAAAAAACGTATAACATACAGTGAAATACAGTTAGCCTGTAGTTTACTATATTTGAACATTTTTAAAAACTAAAATATGACTGAAACATGTATTTATAATAAAAATACTAGGGAAATGCCCTTGGAATAATTAAAGTAAACCTTTCTGAATGGTGTTGCAATCTTTTCTAATGTAAATATGCAGAGACTGCTAGTTGTCCCTCCATATATTCCTTCCACACTTGACACAGTAATGAAAATGTCTGGCTCATAGAACATAGCTGAAATCATCTTTCACAGGTTGCCCTGCAGCTAGATTAAGCCATGTAACTTAGTTCTGGACAATGGGTTGTGAGAAAAAGTAATGCATCCAATTTTAGGATGATGGCCCCCCAAAAAAGGTACAGATCTTTATTTTCTCTTTAACTCGGTCCTGGTGCCTGAAAGATGAACATAACAGTGAAGCCTAGAGCAGCCATCTGGACCATGAGATAAAAACTACCTGTTAAAAATGGCAAGGCAACATGATTAAAGAAGCCTGGGCCTCCAACATCATAAAGCCATCATATTAATCTAGGACTGCCAATTTGGACTTTTACATTGGAGAACAATAAACCTCCATGCTATTCAAGTCATAAAATTTTCAGCCTAAATTGTACCCCAAGCCAACATCTGATGATGGGGGCAGGGGAAACAAAGGGAAAGGAAATACAAAAAGACTTTACCAGAATTTTAATAGAGACCTGTAGTCAGTTCTCAGGTGTGTGTTTGTGTTTGTGTGTGTATATATTTATTTATCATGTTTAATTTTCCTTCAAAACTCCTGGCTTTCCTTCATTGTGGCTATTTTTGGAAATAAAAAACTATAATATTTTAGATGACCTGAAATAAATCTAAGAAATCACTTTAAATTTTTATAGATGAGAAAACAGAGATGTGAGCAAGCTAAATGATGAGCCCAAGGCTATTCTTATAAAAAATAATTAGGTTTTTTTTTTGTAGCTCATGAATAAAGTTTATTTCTGAAGAAAGGGCAAGTTATGAAAGCAAAAAAGGAAGAAGACATTAAGATGTACTGTTTGCATGACAAAGCACATACTACTGTAAAATCCGTATGAACTGTGAAAGGCAGAGGGAAAACAATGACAGGAAGACCATGAATAGTCTCCAGAGTGGGTGAGAGTACTTATACAGAAGAAATAACGACTTCCAAACGAGGGCACTAGAGCATGCTTGCATCAACTGAAGGGCATTGTGATGGTCCCAAAGGTTTGCACCATAGAGAGTTAGTGTCTAGCAGGTCATTCAACATGTATTCCAATGGGAATTAAACTAAAATAAAAGCATCTATATGATCTATAGAGAAAATTCAATTAAGCTTCAATGAGATTTTTAGATGTTCTGAGCTCAAAAGTAATCTATGGAAAACTATGCACCCACTCCCGTCTCCCAATATGTATATAAACATCGACATACACATTATACATTTTAAATATTTCACTGCTGCCCTGGCTGATATGGCTCAGTTGGTTGAACATAGCCCTGTGCACCAGAAGGTCATTGTTCGATTCTGGTCAGAGAACATACCTGGGTTGTGGGTCAGTCCCAGGTCAGGGCACATACAGAGGCAACTGATCTATGTGTCTCTCTCACATCGATGATTCATGCACCCTTATTCATTCTCTTTCTTTCTCTCTCTCTTTCCCATCCTCCCTCTCTAAAATCAATATATAATTTCATTGCTTTGGAAACTGATGATTCTTTCACTCTGATAAAACACAGTAATATTTCCCCCAAATTCAGTTTTTTTAATATAAAATTGATACGATACAAATATAAATTTCAAATATCTTGTATGACTTGAATATTAGAAATGCTCATACTGTGCAGTGTTCACCAACCCAGAAATAGACACATAAATCTTCTTGAATTATGGCAACAAATGCTTAAAAACCTAGACTCATAGAGTTATGACTTATGACTCTGGTAGCAAATATACTTAGAACTCATAGAATATACTTTACCATGAGAGAGTAACTTTATGTCAACAAACACCAAAATACACTACAACATTTTGAGTGGAATCTACATTCATTCTTTTCTTCTAAGTGTAGAAGGTCATATTTGGCAATAACTAGATGCTTGTGTCACCAAGGAAAGGATTACAAACTCCATTTAAACTTTTAGGTCACCAAAGCACAATTAACCTTAAAAAGTATACTGTTATGTTTCCAATTGTCTGAAAATTTTTGCCAGCAGATGAATTTACAAGATATTGTAGCTCTGAAATTCAATTTGCAGAAACACATCCTGAAGCCCTGGAAGATTCCCAAGGCAGTTTGGCCGAATGGACTTGTGATTTCCATTGGTATCCATAAGGCTGACTGCAGCACCGTAAAATGAAAGTTTTACCTCATTCAAATATCGAAAAATATCTCTCAAGTAAGCCAAGCCATGAATAATCTCCTCCTTGTCTCCAAGAGTAGCCTTTCTTTTTCTCGTAAGCAAGTTAACAAACAAATAAGTAAGGAGGCCACTATCTAAACTGCAATATAGGGATTTAAGACATATCCTTTAGGAAACCAATACACTTCTCACTTACTGGGAATATCTCATTCTATTTCCATTTCTTAGGAAAACCTATCGAAAAGGTAGGGGTTAAAGGCTTTGGCTCTGAGAAAGTTGACTAGTTTCAGGGTGGTGAGCAAGATATCTTTCTGGATTACTGTCACCGTTCCTGATGTTGACACATGCCAAGCCAATTTTAAAAGACATGAGTCATAAGGACTTGAAGTTCTTTCTTCACAGAAGCAACAAAACCAGATGTACGGCCAAGCATAGCAAGTTCTCCATCCATGCCCAGTGAACCAAACCCCACTTTTTACCTATCAAAGATACCTCACAAACTTAGAATTTGTTATGCCTCAGTATACACAAAACAGATGAAATTAGAAACAGGCTACATGAAATAAAGTTAGTTACTACATACAAACTGAATGTGAATGTTAAACGGGAAATGGCATTTCTCCCCATTTGACAATGATCTGCTTCAAAATATTAGAAGAAACCATCAGCAGTACTGTAGTATATAACACCATTGAATTGTACAGGAAAGCACACTATGATAAATAACAAAATTTCAGTAACCAGCTCAAACCTTCTTATTTAACCTATTTTAACTGATCATTTTAAGAACTTAGGCTATTGAAATTTACAAACCATTGGCAGCTAATTAGAAAAAGTATGTATCTTCTAAATTGAAGTAATTACTGAAGCCAGTCTGTATTATTTTCTATATGATAATATACATTTTTTTTAACTGATTCAGTTTGTTACTTCAAATGTTTCTCTAATTGATGAAATCGCTTTCTTTACTCACTCTGAATTAAATAGGTTTTTTAAAATAATTGTTTAAACTCAATTTAGTTCTAGCACAAATTATCAATAATTGTCTTTAAAGTTAATGCAATAAAGATAGCCCATGGCCCTCATTTTCTTCTACTATAGAATGCACATCTGATGGATACTGGCCAAATGCAAATGATTTAAGCACCAATCATCCTGTCAACTTGGGTAAAATATACAAATAATAAGTACAATACTTTTGATAAATAAATCACCCATCTTGATCTGAGGTGTAGGAACTAAGCAGGTCAAGTAGCAAATATCCTTGTCTATAAAGCATGTAAACTTTGGAAAGCTTAGGTTGAATTATTTCTTTCTATTTTACTATTTCTAAGTTTGATGATATCAATAAAACATCTTACTTCTTAATTATAAGTCCTACTACACTTAATTATATCATTTTATAATCTCAAATACATTCTAATAAGTAGAAAATGTCATAATTACTCAATATTCAAAGGTAAATATATTATTTTCTTTCTTAAAATCATTATTTCCCCAAACTTATTTCAATAGACCTTCTCAATTGTCTAAAACTTCTGACCTCACTTTTTAGAACTGCTCCTTCATGTAATTACCTCTAAAATACTTATTTAAGGCTGTCCGGTGTGGCTCAGTGGTTGAGCGTGAGGTCTCTGGTTTGATTCCAGGTCAGGGCACATGCCCAGGTTGTGGGCCCGATCCCCAGTAGGGGGCTGCAGGAGGCGACCAATCGATGTTCTCTTTCATCCATGTTTCAGTCTTTCTCTCTCTCTCTCACTTCCTCTCTCTCTAAAATCAAGGGGAAAAAAGATAGAGCAAGAAAAAAAAATAAAATACTTATTTAAAACATTAAAAACTAAATACATTTTCCAGTAATTATATTTCATAATTCATTAAGATAAAGCATTGACTATAACTTCGAAGCATTCTTCCAACCTGGAAATCAGTACTTTTCAAATTTCTAAATGTGAGATATTCGGGGAATAATATGCTAGTTACTTCAATAATTCCTCATAAGTGCTGTAACATTTTACCACATTTTGGAAAGTTTTACTTACTGAAACATCTTTCAGGTTTTTCTCAAAGGAGAAATGACAAGACTCTTTAGAGAAATTAAACTTGTATGCATCGGCTGGTCCTGCTCCTGACACCAATGCTTTTCTCAGTTCATCAACATATTTCTCTTTTTCCATTGCCATGTCATCAGCTTCTTGGGAAATCGCTGACTCAGAAACTACGAAAACATTAATAAAAAGTTTTAAAATAAAAAATAAATGTCTAAACATATGAACATAGTTCTCTTTACCTGTTGCTACAAATTTATCACTTATGTAAACAGAAATTTAAACTAAAAGTAAAAACAAACCCCACACCACACATTTTTTTTAAGGCAAATGATACCTTTTAACTGAACTCACAGTTTTGTAGAAATATGTTAATTTAGTCTCAAATCTTATCTGAAAGTATTAGACTCCACGCATTTTCTCTTCTCAGATGAAATGCATGCATTGTAAATTACCACAGAAACTGCTATCCTCTGGAGCCACTCCTAGGTCATAGCCAGAGAAATTATTTCCTATAATCATTACAAGCTCAGTATTTTACTACATCTTTCTTCCTTGCCTCTAGTATTAAAGAGATTAAATGATCAATAGTCTTTATTTCTCACTCACATGGACAGAGTAAAATTAAAGTAAAAGTAGAGTTCATTCTTCTTATGTGCTGGCAACAGAAAAGGTGAGGTGACGAGGAAGGCAAGGGAAGGGAATTATTTATAGTGTCTCCTCTATGGCATACACCATATTCTACATCTGGCTTCCAGTTCTCTCCCATCAGTAAAGCTCAGGTTTTACCCATCCATAAAGATATTTACTTCAATAAATATATTTTCAATTTTAGATAGTTTGTTTCTTTGTCATAATACCCTGGTTCTTGTCATACTTCCTTTTAAATATTTGAAGGCTTTAAACACATTTAAATCTCTTTCAGATCAGTCTTTATGCTTGGTTCATGGTATCAATTCTATTTCTTCTATCTGTTTACACATTCTCATTCTGCTTTTTTCCTTTCCTGTATGGCCATGTTTCAGCACGGCTCTCCTATAGCCACAACATCAAGTGCACTGGGCAGAGGTGGTGCTACGTGAAGGCTGCTGGTTTGCCTTTCTGGAGTCCCTATAGGTTTCACCATTCTGGACCAATTTTGAAAGTTAATTTCTTACCTTGGTTTTTACATGTGAGGCAAAGAATTCTAATTTAAACCTCCCACCCAAACATAACACAAGCTTAAGGTTCATATTTTCTTTGGTTTACTCACTTATATCCCTTATTGACTAATTCTTTGCTGCACCCCCAACCAGAGTGTAGTTTTTTATTGTTGATTTTAAGATGATTTCATTATCAGGATAACATTTTCAGGTTCCTTTATTTATATGGCGAGCTCAGCTCCAATTCCTTGAGAGGCCTGCAGTCTTATCACCATACCCCACTCTATTACAATCACGGACATTCAGACATCTATGTAGTTCAAATATTCAGTGAACCTCTAGTCAAGCTTTAGTTCCCATTAACCACTCTGGTTTTCAGGTATCTCTTCATACATAGCATCTGGGGATTTCTCTTTCTTACATTCAAAAGCTGTGATGTACCTGTTTGCTTTTCAAATTACAAGACTTAATCTACACTTGTTTGGAATGTGTGTGTGACTGGGTAGTTTTCTGTATCAAATCAGGCTACCACAAAGATGAAAGACCATACGGTTCTATACTTTTATATTTAAAGGTTACATTTACTTATTTCATTTCTCATACACTGAAAGATAGATGGTATTTTCATTTTGCAAAAGAGAAAATAGAGGCTCAGAGAGACCAACTAAGAGTATAGGGTCATGGAGTCCGTCAGTGGTGAACCAGGGATTCACATTTCTGTCCCTGGCTCTTCTGTTGGGGACATGAGGCAGAGATATGGGACACAGGATAAACTATATTCTTCCATGACATTAAAAAACATATTAGAATGAAGTAGTACAAAAAACAATGGAATTTTGATTAAAGAATCCCTGAAAATACCACAATTTTCATAATGTTAGTCTGTGTACTATCAAGTGTCTGGAAGTCCCATAACAGTCAACGAGGAAAAGAGTCTTGGAATTCATATATAATTCATGAGCAATTTTTGATAATAAGTCTGATATTGAAATGAGTCTCAACAAAGCCTTTGAAAACAGATAAAAATAAAAATATCTTATATTCTTATGTGATTTTACAGCTTCTAAAATATTCACATATTTTTCTCTCTCTGAAGCAGATGAATATTTAAGATGATCATCACCATCAAATCTATTCACCTTTTAATACCCTACTAGCTCTTCTGAAACAATCTAAAAATAAGAAAACAAATGATTCTGATTTGAGGAATAATTTCATATTTTGTGTTTGGATAATTTTGAAGAGTGGCAAACACCTAGAAAAGTCATTATTTCACAGAGGGAAAAAAAATCTGTAGAAGCCATCTTTAATGCAGCTACAAACATAAAATACAAAAGAAATTAAAAATAGATTTTCATTGATAAAACATCTACTTAAAAGTATTTTAAATTTCATTAAAATAAAAAAATGCCTATCTGAAAATATTTAATAGAATTTACTAATTTATTTATTTAAAAATGCTTCATGAGCATCTACTATGTACCAGGCACTATTCTAGGCATCGGGATACAATAGTTAAAGAGAGACAAAAACGCCTGCCTATGGAGCTTAGATTAAAGTACCAACATCTTAGATATCCTCTTATTTTACTCCATCGGTGAATGCTGTGTTCATTATTATTATTATTATGGAATATTTCATTTTTAAGAAGATAAACTATATGAAAGAAAATTATCTTTCTTTTTAATTGAATTTATTGGGAGAACACTGGTTCACAAAACCATATAAAAACCTATACAATTTTCAAGTGTACAACTCAAAAAACATCATCTGCACACTACATAGTGTGCTCATCATCCAAAGCAAAGTCTCTTTCCATCCCCATTTATCCCCTTTGTCTACCTCTGCTATCCCTGGGCCCCTTTCCCTCTGGCCATCACTATACAGTTGCCTGTGTTATATATGTATGGTTTCTTGGTTAATCCCTTCACCTTCTTTCATCCAGCCCCTAACCCCACTCTGACAGCTGTCAGTCTGTTCCATGTAACCATGTTTCTATTGCTATTTTGTTTGTCAGTTTTATCGTTCTATTTACACTTCACCTTTAAAAACTATGTTTGAACATTTTTTTACTTGAACATTTAAAAAAATTAAAAGCTTTAAATTTACTTGAACATTTCCTATAACAAAAATGTGAAATTTTGACTATTTAGAACTTCAATCTTAAAAAAAAAAAAAAACTTAATCACCAGTTTTGAATTTTGTGCTAAGAACATCTGGAAGAAGCACAGCTGTAAGCATTCAATGTTCCAAAAACTTCAGTGACCAGGATTAAAAGCCATAGAAATAAAATTCAGCAAGGATACAGCTGACTCACATACTATGTTATAAAAGTGAGCGAGAAAACATGATCACAAAACAAGAAATTTTTTTCAGACAGGTAAGAGCCAAGAAAGCATCACTTTTAACACTGTTTGCAACTAGGTGAAAATACATGTAAGGAAAGATCCTTTCCTTTGGATCTTTATGTATAATGAACCAAAAACTATGCATACCTTCAGTTTGTGTCTGAGCTCAGAAGACACACCTGGCCTTATTACCCCAGTGGGTTTGTTGATGATTTCACATCAGGGACACACTTTACTTCATTTATTGAAAATCCTTTTTCCACTGAGACCTGTTATATAATCTCCATACGGGCCACCAAATATCAATATTTAGGACAAATATAGGTGGATATAATTATTTGATAATAAAAGAATTACTAAAATTTAATTTACTCTTCAATGAAATTTAAACTACTCCAGAGATGGGTAAGTTTTTCACTGCTTACTACAATTCTTATAAAACTCAAATAATAGTCATCAATCATTAACCCACTCTGTGACTTTACTCTGTGATATTACCCCCTCTAATGTTGAAGTGATGATAGACCACAAAGTAATTAGACCTCAAAACATTCATTAGATAAAACATTGCTAATGAAAAAGAAATCAGTGAGTTTAGTGTGTGGGAGATTTAAAAAAAAACCCACATCCTTTTAATTTCACTTAAATGAAAAGAGAAAAAATTATCCAAATGGAAGCTTGCAGCAATCAAATAGTTGTACAAAAAAACAGGATGAGGTATAGGAAGGAAATCTATTTTCATGTTGCAATTATTTAATTGTTTCAATGTTCTTAATCATATTATTGTCTATCTGTAAAGTGCCAAACCAAATTATATTTATGTAATGAGCCTTAACTAAACATGAAACAATGTTATATTATTTGGTTTCATATTTTGTGCCTGAAATTTAAACAAGAAAATAGAAACGAATAATGAAAGTATAAAACATACGTGAGATCTAAAACTTTATTAGATATCTGCACTATATTTTCTGTTTGAAAGCTTGTTTAGTACTGGAAGACAACCCACCAAATAATACATAAGTTTGACATCACATTTTTCTCACAGTAAAGTCCATTAGCTGGAAAATAAATGGTAGGATGTACTGCATTTAATATCAATGCCAACAAGAAATATGAAAGGGGATTTTTCATTTTACAACCTTCTAACTCTAAAATGAATGGTTCACTTTCTTTATTTCCTAACCAGGTCTATATATTTGAAGATATAAGATTTCCTTTTCTTTCAATACTTTCATCTTTCTTTCAAAAAAATATCCATTAATATGTATGTCCTAAGTACTAGTCAAGATACTAATATAGAGTGGTTGACAAATCGGATGTGTTCCTTGATCTCAATGGACCGAGTCTAGTGAAATAATATTCTTAGTAATAGTATTAAAAACAACTGACAATAAATTTTGTATGACATAAACAAAATGTTCATAAATGTAAAATTAACTTAAATTTCTGGTTAAAGATTTAAGTGTTAATGAAATTATTCTTTTTCTTTCCCAATGCTTAATAACAACAACAAAATTTAAACATAATTATTGTTTGCCTTGGTGAATGAGGGTTACTGACCAGATTAGAATTTAATCATTCTTTTAATAATTAAGGCTCTTAAAGTACCTTAAGGTCCTCTGTTTGAGCAAAATTGCTCATCACATAGAATAAGCTGTTTGACAATTAGAAATATTTAAGTAATAATTATAGTATTCCTCATATAAAAGCAATCACTGCATCCAGCACCTGCCTCCTGGACTGTGCTGTTGGAACTGGTCTTCTCTCCCAGATGAATGGAATTACCTACCCTTCAGCCCTGGACACTCAACTCCACCCTAAAACAGCTACTGTCACCCAGGTCCACCTTCACCAGCACACCTAACCTAACAAATTTTCCTACACTCCTACACTCCAACGACCAACCAACAACTGATTTCTCTTACATAAAAATGTACAACTTAGATATATACCATAACAGGTCCTGCAAACATTACACTTGAAATTTCTTTATTTTACAATAATCCTTATTATCAGTATTCCTTGTAATCTGTCATAAAGGAAAAAAAATCACAACTATAAATTTAGTTTGTTATAAATTTAGTTTAGTTAGTTATATAACGAAAATTTTTTTTAATGTTTTTCATTTCCTGGGATGACATTGGTTAGTAAAATTGTATACGATTCAGGTGTACAATTCTATAATACATCATCTGTATATTGATTGTGTATTCACCACCCCAAGTCAAGTCTCCTTCCAATCACCATTTATCCCTCCGTTACACTCTCCTACCTCCCCCTATCCTCCTTTCCCTCAGCCCAAGCCCTGTCCCCTCTAACAGCTGGTAGTCTGTTCTCTGTATCTATCTATATCTATGAGTCTGTTTCTATTTTGTTTGTTAGTTTGTTTTGTTCATTAGATTCCACATATCACTGAAATCAATCATATGGTACTTGGATTTCTCTGACTGGGTTTATTTCACTTAGCATAATACTCTTCAGGTCCATTCGTATAGTTACGAAGAATAAGATTTCCTTCTTTTTTTTACAGCAGAACAGTATTCCATAGAGTAAATGTACCACAGCTCTTTCATCCATTCATCTCCTATAAATCAAGAAACAACCAGTGTTGGTGAAGATGTGGAAAAAAGGTAACCCTTGTCCACTGTCAGTGGAATACAGATTGGTGCAGCCACTATGGAAAGCAGTATGGAGTTACTTCAAAAAATTAAAAATGTAACTGCCTTATGACCCAGTGATTGTACTTCTGGGAATATATCTGAAGAAACCAGAAACACTAATTTGAAAAAATATATACACCCCTATGTTAATTGCAGTATCATTTATAATAGCGAAGATTTGGAAGTAGCCCAAGTGTCTATCAGTAGATAAATAGATTTTTAAAAAGCTGTGGTATAACAGAATTTTTAACATTCAAAAAACAAACTAAATTTCAGAACATATGTAATTTTAAAAGATGATATTATATCAAATGTTAAAGAAATATTTTAGAAGTTGACAGAAGACACTAATAGTACGTGAATGAACATGACAAAATTATTTTACCTAAAACATCATTGAACTGTAGAAATGACTATTGCATAGCTATAGAAATAGTTTTTTAAATCTTTGATAAAATACTTTAGAGAAGTATTAAAACTTTTCTATATGAGTAAAACATAATTGTACATTTTTGACATTATACCTGCCATGTTTCATAAATTATTTCAAGGCCACTAGCCTTTTTAAAAAGATTATCACCAAAGATAAAAATAATCAAGAGTCTATTTAAAAAATAATCGCCAAAATCCAATATATAGACTTTAACCTTGAAATACAAACCTTTAGGCTGTGAGTTCTGTGTTTTGTTTTGTTACAAATGTGGTATATGTTCATAAGAAAATAATTTAAACAACCTAAGTACATAAAATAAAATTAAAAAGCACCACTACTCTACTCCACCAGGCCAACACAAACCCTGACCCAGCCAAACCTCTCCCCTGCCCCCAATAGGTTCCCTGGGGTGCTGAGAACAGATACATGTAAAAAGTACTATTTATGTTTTGTATAAAGAGGTCATTTAAAAAATCCTTCCAAGTACTATGGCACAAATGGTAATCAGAATTTGCATATGCTTATTTCTCTATCCTCTTATTAATGCTAATTAGAGAAAGTGGCATTAGATACTACAAATCTGCATATAAATTGGATACCAGTAACAAATAAAAGCAATCCTATTAAATTTAACCAATATCTATTTTTTTTAAAAAAAACACTTTAATTTGAAGTATCACTAACAACTGAAAAATAATAGGTTACTGAAATTTTGCTTTTAATATTACCTGTCCCAGTCCATGCTGACTGGCCATCAGTAAGTGTAATAACAAAACCAGATCCTAGTGTTTTCTCCCAAGTGATTTGTAGAAAATGAATTATATCAGGTTCAGAAGCAAGACAGATTCTGCTTACTTTTTTCTCCATTTCTGGTCACCTATTATAGAAGAATAAAATTAATATTTTTGCAGGAAACTGTTACTATCAATGAGTAATGTTTTCTGTATTGGTTTCTAAGCTATAGTATCAAGAAAATAAGTTTAAAAAAAAAAGCTATAATGGCCAACCACTAAACTCAATAAATCATAGTTCTATTAAATATTGATTTCACAATTTTTATAGATGAGAAAAACAGAAGCCCATAAACAGTGAAGATTTGCTCAAGTCATGTAGCTAAATAAAAATTACTATCTCGACTTCCGGTCAAGATGGTGGCGTAGGTAAACGCGGTATCGCGTCCTCCCACAACCACATCAAAGTTACAACTAAACTACACAACAACTATCATTCAAAACCGCCTGAAATCAAGCTGAATGGAAGTCGTACAACTACGGAACTAAGGAAAAAAAAAAAGCAGCTACATCCAGACCGGTAGGAGGGGCGGCTGCGCGAGGGGGACGGCGGCGCAGCGGCGGCGGCGCAGCAGCAAGACGGGCTGGTCCCACACCCAAGCATGGTGGATAAAAATCAGGAGGATCCCGCGGCTGGGAAGGTCCTTCCTGAGGACTGAGGAGTCCCTGTCCCACACCAGGTGTCCCGTTCAGGGTTCCAGTGCCAGGAAGAGAAGTCCCCATAACTTCTGGCTGGAAAATGCAGCGGAAACTGAGGCTCAGGGAAGCTGAAGTGGCTGGAGCCCCAGGCAGCTCCTTAAAGGGCCCACGCACGGACTTATCGGACTCTCTCCCTCTAAGCTCGGAGGGGAGGCAGCTCGAGGGGCACCAGAGACACACAGGGAAGAACTGAGCTGTTTGGCACTGGAGCGAGAGCTGGAGAGGGGGCTTCCTCGGGGACAAACGTGCTGTCAGAGGCCTTTGTTCCTTTGGTGAGACCTTCTCGGGGGCGGCAGACAGAAGCCATATCTGGGACTCCAGCAACCTGGCTCACACTGGTAGCCCCGCCCTGCTGACTCCCTGAGGCCCCGCCCCACCCCACACAACTTTCAAGCTGTTGCCACTTGCTTAACCATAGGATTGGCCTGTCTTGGATCCTGCTTCAGGTTTTTCCTAAATTCTTTCAAACGAGCAGCACCGGGTCTCAGCGAGCCCCATACCTCTCATTAAGTAATACACAGAAACAAACACAGGGAGGCAGCCAAAATGAGGAGACAAAGAAACAGGTCCCAAATGAAAGAACAGAACAAAACCCCAATAAAAGAACTAAGCGAAAGGGAGATAAGCAACCTAACAGATACTGAGTTCAAAATACTGCTTATAAGGATGCTCAATGAACTTAGTGAGAACCTCAGTGAACTTAGGGAGGGCATCAAGAGCATAAAAAAGTACCAGTTAGAAATCATGGATACACAGTTAGAATTAAAGGAGGCATTAACTGAAATAAAGAATAATTTACACAGCTTCAATAATAGAGTATGTAGATCCAAGGAGCAAACCATCGATTTGGAATATAAGGAAGCAAAAAATCCCCAATCAGAAGAGCAAAAAGAAAAAAGAATCCAAAAAAATGAGGATAGAGTAAGGAGCCTCTGGGATAACTTCAAGCGTGCCAACATTCGCATCTTGGGGGTGCCCGAAGGAGAAGAGAGAGAACAAGAAATCGAAAACCTGTTTGAAACAATAATGGCAGAAAACTTTCCTAACTTGGTGAAGGAAACAGACATACAAGTCCAGGAAGCACAGAGAGTCCCAAACAAGATGAACCCCAAGAGGCCCACACCAAGACACATCATCCTCAAAATGCAAAAGGTTCAAGACAAAGAGAGAATCTTAAAAGCAGCAAGAGAAAGGCAGCTAGTTACCTACAAGGGAGTACCCATTAGGCTGTCAGCTGATTTCTCAAAAGAAACTTTGCAGGCCGGAAGGGAGTGGCAAGAAATATTCAGAGTGATGAAAACCAAGAACCTACAACCAAAATTACTCTATCCTGCAAAGCTGTCATTTAGAATCGATGGACATACAAAAACTTTCCCAGACAAAAAGTTAAAGGAGTTCATCACCACCAAACCGTTATTATATGAAATGATGAAGGGTCTTTTTGAAGAAAAAGATAAAATGTATGAACAAACAAAATGGCAATGAATACATATCTATCAACAATGGAATCTACAAACAAAATGAACAGGAAGAACAGAAACATTCTCATAGATACAGAGAACATTTTATAGGTTGCCAGTTGGGAAGGGGGTTGGGGGAATGGGTGAAAAAGGTGAAGGGATTAAGAAGCACAAACTCATTGCTAGGCTGACAAACCTCAAAGGGAAAGGGGTTGGGGGGGTGGGAAGAAATAAACCAAAGAACTTATACGCATAACCAATGGACACAGACAATAGTGTGGGAAAAGGTGGGAGGGGGGCGGGAGTGGGGAGGAGGGGGTCAATGGGGGAAAAATGTGGAACATCTGTAATACATTTTACATCCAACAATAAAGATTTGGGAAAAAAAAAAAAAAAATTACTATCTCTAGCCCAGCCAGTGTGGTTCAGTGGACTGAGCATTGTCCCATGGACTGAGAGGTCCTGATTCGATTCCTGGTCAGGGCACATGCCCGGGGTTGTGGGCCCGATCCCCAGTAGGGGACATGCAATAGATAGCCAATGGATGTTCCTCTCTCACATCAATGTTTCTATCTCTCTCTTTAAAAAAAAAAATCAATAAAACATATTTTAAAAAATTACTATCTCCAGCCCTGGCCAGTTTGGCTCAGCGGTTAGAGCGTCGGCCTGCGGTCCAGAGAGACCCGGGTTCGGTTCCCACTAAGGGCGCGTACTTCGGTTGCAGTTTGTCCCAGGCCCTGGTTGGTCGTGCGGGTGGCAGCCACTCGATGTGTCCCTTCACGTTGAAGTTTCTCTCTCTCTCTCCCTTCCTCTCTCTCCCTCCCACTCTATCTGTACACACACAAAAAAAATTACTATTTCCAATAAGAGTAAATTGTCTAAAAGATTCAATAGCCCACTGAGACAGGAACAACCTGTATCACAGCCTAAAACCAATAAATTGTCTTTGCACTTTAAAAACTTTGTATTGAAGTATGATATACAGGGAAAAGTACACATATCAAAAATATAACTTTATAAATATAACGCTGAGCAAATCCATTTAAGCAATACCTAAGTCAAGAATATTCCCGCCCAAGAACTCATTCTCATAATACTACCTACCTTCCAGTCACTATGTCCCCAAATAACCACTCTTCTCACTTCTAGCAGAGATGAGAGTTTGAGTGCTTTTGTACTTTTATGTAAACAGAATCATGCAGCATGCTTTATTTTCCGTTTGGCTTCTTTTGCTTAACATTCTATTTGAGAAATGCAACCACTTTTTTCTTAGAGTTGTAGATCACACTAATGGTTGTACACTATTCTATTATATAATCATAGTACAATTTATCCATTCTACTGAAATTAATAAGTACTTGAGTACTTTCCAGGTTTTGCCTATTACAAATAGTGCTGCCATAAACGTTCTAGCAAATATCTACAGAGTACATATATACGCTCAGTTTTAGTGATATATATGGACAAAAGTTTTCTGAAAGGTTTGTACCAATATACACTTGGTATATGAGAGTTTGCTCCACAACCTTGCAAACATTTCTCATCTTTTAATTTTAGCCATTTTGACAGGTATGCAGTATTACACTGTGGTTTTAATTATAATCCCCTGATGAGCAATGATGTCGATCGAGTACTTTTCATATATTTATTCGGCATTTGAATATTCTGTTTTGTGAAGTGTCTGTTCAGCACAAACTTCAAAAATGGAAAACGAGAGAGAATTATTCTTTAATCACATGGCATGAATCTCTTACTAGATGATCCTTAAAAAGCTAAAATAATTTTCTTTAACCTTTTGCTTTGGGGGGAGAACATAAATTTGCTTCAGATTTTTTATGACCAATAAATATAACATGCTACAAAAATCTAGAACTATTCATTGATATTTTATTGACAACTGATTTAAGTTTCAATAAGAGCACATTCTTACATCAGAACTTTTAATTTCTTTTTCAATTTAAAGCTACTGTCCTCATAAATGAAGCATCATATTTTTCTCAAAAATGAATATAAAAATAAAAACAACTCATTTTGTCAGCTCTTCACAAAACGTGGCTAGCTTACTACAGATGTCTATCTTTTGGGAGTGGGAAGTATGTTTAATTATAAAATGCTGGAGCAGTACTACCTTATAGCACAAGGAAGCCGAGAAACATCCATAATGGGGAGAAAAATATCTAAAATTAAGAGTGCAAGATACCTCCAAACTGATGAATTAGAAATAATTCTAATTTCTACCTATAGTTTACTCAGAAAAATAGTATTCTTCCCAATAAAGGACAAAGTTATAAAATAACCATACTTTAGTCACATCAATTAAGCATGCTGACATTGTCAGAATATGTAAATTTATAGGGTTGACATCATAATCACTAAAAAAATAATTTAAAAAAATATTTTATTCAGTCAAATTTTTTTCCTACATCAAGGTCATCTTTGCCTAGATATGCTTAATTCTGAAATGCTTTATCCATTTGTGAATATTTCTTTTAGATCAGTTAGTCAATATACTAAATATGCAGTAATTACTCACATGCTCTGTAATCCTTAAATTTGAAAATTACTGGAAAACGTGTGTTACTGTTTTTCTATGCCAATCACTGAAAAAGACACATAGCTAGAGTCTTACACAATTCTAATGGGGGAAGGAGGGTAATAGAAACTATTTATGAAGGCCACATTTTGACTCTACAAAATGTATACACATATACACAAATATATACACACACAGATTATTTCTTCTTAAATGTGCCTCGTGAACGATGGCTGTTGTTAGCAATAAATGTAACTTTGCAAAAGGAAAACATAGCACTTCAAATTTTGACACTAAAACAGCAGTTGGTTTCACTGCTATTTTTTTTTTTACCAGATTTAAAACAAGTCACAAATTTTAATAGAGACAAATTAGTTTAAAATTCAATATTCCA